AAAGAGCTCAAGAAGAAAAGCTGGAATGAGTTTTTACTGAAAGAGCTCAGAAGGAAAAGCTGGAGATGAGTTTCTACTGAAAGAACTCAGGAAGAAAAGCTGAATTTCTACTGAAAGAGCTCAGGAAGAAAAGCTGGAGATGAATTTCTGCTGAAAGAGCTCAGAAGGAAAAGCTGGAGATGAGTTTTTACTGAAAGAGCTCAAGAAGAAAAGCTGGAGATGAGTTTTTGCTCAAAGAGCTCAGGAAGAAAAGCTGAATTTTCTACTGAAAGAGCTCAGAAGGAAAAGCTGGAGCTGAATTTCTACTGAAAGAGCTCAGAAAGAGAAGCTGGAGATGAGTTTCTACTGAAAGAGCTCAGAAGGAAAAGCTGGAGACAGGTCTCTGGTGCTCCAGGTTTCTCCCAGGGATTAAGGAAATGTTGTGGAGATCTGTCCTATCCCACAGCCCAGGGTGCAGCAGGATCTCCAGCTGGGATGAGTGTCCTGTAGGTCACTGCAGCCCAACTGGGACACTGAACTCGGGAGAGGGAAGGAGGGGAGAACAAGGAGAACACCTCGAGGTCTTGGAAGCTGCCTCTTCCCTCGTGTGCCGGGTGGTTTTGGGAATGTTTAAGGTTGGAATGTCACTGTAGGATTGTTTTTCTCTGCCCCAGTGACCAGAAGGCCTCCAGTGTGGTCCTGCCCCTGATCCTGCCCTGCTTCTACCCCGAGCTCTTCATGCTCTACATGCTGTACCACGAGAGGGAAGATGACCTGTACTGCCAGGGCATCGTGGACCTCAGCCTGTTCCCTGACATCAAGCTCCTGGAATTCCTGGATGTGCAGAAGTAAGTGGTGTTTTTCCATCCCTGGATACGTGGCTGGGATCCTGGAAAGGACCTGGAGCCTGTTCCTGTGGCTGTAGCACTGAGGTTTTGTGCTGCCAGAGGAAATCCTGCCAGGAAGTGCCTGCCTGTCCTGGAAGGGCAACACTGACTAGGGAAAAGCTGCAAATGGCTGGGCTAATTTTAATTTTTGGCTGGAAAACCCTTTTATTACCTCAAATAAATAGCTTTGTTCCAACTTGGGACTGACCAGCCAGAGCTTATAAATGTGTCTTAAAAAGGGCAACAGTGGTGTCTGCTCTGAGAGTGGAGGCACACAGACTCAAAAATGAGGAGTCAGGTGATTCCTTCAGCCATTCCTGCTGCTAAATCCACCTCTGGAATGGGATGTGGGGCCAAACTCCACCAGCTTTCCCACCACAGCATCATCTGCACCTCAGGGACACCCGGAGTGTCCGTTGGGTTCAGTCTGGGCTCAGTGGGAGGAGTTCAATCTGAAGGTTCCCAAACTCTCCCAAATTGATTATTTTCAGGAGACTCTCGGAGTAAAATCAACCCTTTGCCTGGATTAATGAGCCAAATTAATTAATTTGGAGCAGTGGAGGCAGATTTAGGGCGGGCTCAGCCCTTCTCAGTGTCTCTGTGATCTCCTTCCAGGCACCTCTGGCCTCTCAAGGATCTCACCCTGACGACCAACCAGGTGAGAAACATCCCGGAATTCCGGCTCTTCGGGATGGGGTTGGGAATGTGGGGCGGTGCTGGAGCTTCCTTAGGGATCCATCACCTCCTTGGGAATTCCTTTGGGGGCTGGAAGATGTTCCAAAGGCTCTGTGTCTCCTTTCCAGAGGCGCTCCCTGATCAAGGACAAGTGTTTCCTGTCGGCCACCGAGTGTTTGCAGAAGCTCATGTGAGTCCGGGCAAATTTGGGATTTCATTCAATATTGTTCATATAGACGGGGTAGAAAATTGAGCTAAAATGGAGGTAAAATTTAGAGAAAATATAGAGAAAATTTAGAGGAAATTCAGCTAAAAATCAGCTGAAATTTAGATGGCATTTAGCTAAAATTTAGATGATATTTAGCTAAAATTTAGATGACGTTTAGATAAAGTGTAGATTAAATTCAGCTAAAGTTTAGATAAAATTCAGTTAAAATTTAGCTGAAATTTAGCTAAAATTTCACTAAACTTTAGCTAAAATTCAGCTAAAATGTAGATAAAATTTAGCCAAAATTCAGCTAAAATTCAACTAAAATGTAGGTAAAGTTCAGCTAAAATTCAGCTAAAATGTAGATAAAATTCAGCTAAAATGTAGATAAAATTCAGCTAAAATTCAGCTAAAACTTAGATAAAGTGTAGATAAAATTCAGCTAAAATTCACCTAAAATATAGATAAAATGTAGCCAAAATTCAGCTCAAATTCAACTAAAATGTAGATAAAATATAGATAAAATTCAGCTAAAATTTAGAT